AAATTAATATAGCCACTACAGTGACCATCAAAACGATGAAAAAATATTGCCGTAAACAGTTTATTTTGCGACACCATGAAACAAACGATAGCGTAAAATGAAACGATAGATGTTTTTATATCATCATCCATATATATCGTTATATCGAACAGCCCTAGAACACAGGATACTTTTTACATTTGATTAAAATTGATCAGAGGCCACAATCAAGCAGCGTTTTCTTCGTTTCAGTTGTCACATATCCCAGAGAATCTGACAGCGAACAAACCAGAGAAAATAACAGGCATGACAGAAATAAAGATAAATCCATATTTTATTACATTCTCTCTCATTCTGATTTTTAATCCACAAGAAATTTAAAGTGAGTCCCAGTCATCATCACCCCCAGTGACAAACATCATTATCAGTATAAAACAGACAACAAATACTGAACTTACGACACACTCAGATCTGCTGGGGTCCCCTCTTAAAACACAACCACAAAAAAAAAAGACATCTCAGGAACCTTCAACCCAGTGTGAGATTTCAGGTATCTTTGAAATGAAGCTTCTCGTTTGCACCCCTGTGACTTTAAGCTTTTTAAAACGCTGCTCAGGTGCCAACAAACAAAAGCAGTTTTTTCCTTTTTTCTCGTGAGCGTCCCAGTCAGATTTGAGAGCGTAATGTGAATCTGTGTCTTTAGATTTTGTGTCCACCAGGTGTTTCTTACCAGGAAGCAGCGCTAAACAATTCCCGTCATGGCCTCATCACTCAATACAGTATAAGGGATGGGGGAAAAAGAAGGAAATTTTGCTTCAAGCTGAAACAATCTGAACCTCTAGTGCTCACTGCCGTAAAAGTTTAAATCATGCTAAGGCTGTCAGCGCTGTGGGAGACATGCAGTGTCATTTCCACTGTAGACAACAAGAACAAGAAACTGAGTCTGAGAAAATATTCCCGGTGGACACAAAGCCTTCTGTAGGTGCAATACACATTCTCAATAACAGTGTCCAAGGAAAAAAAAGAAGAAGACTTTGACGCATTACCATATGCTAGCATACCAACCAACAGATGACGACACTTTCTGTTAAACAAGATTAGTGTTTAATATATATTACCAAAAGCAAAAAAATATATATAACATTTACTTTATATTTTCTCCCCTCCCAAAACAAAGAAAAAAAGACGTTTCACTAAAGGTAAATGAGTAAAGTTCAGACTTGACACCTCATGTTAACGCTAAAGGGATTGTCATAAAAGGGGTTTTCTTATCTGAACCTAATTTTGGCATGGGCACCATAAATGAAGGAGACGTGTGATTTTCTGTGGTGAAACAGAAAGTCAGACCATCCATGCCAGTGTGTCTTCATAAAGGGAGTTTTGCGAGTTATTTACTGTAGTTTGTACCTTTCATCAATAATGGGAAACAATAGATTAAAATGTCATGTTACCCCTGACGAAAGTTGTGTATGTGTTAATTAAACCGCTCCCTTTACAATTTACACAACTATCTAGAGAATACTGCTGAAAGAAACTGCATGTTAGGACATTTCATCAGACAAAAACAAAGAAAGTGGAAAAAAAAGGAACCTAAAAATTACAAAGATAGCAGCAAATGATGTAAAGAGCCAAAGGCAGTTGAAATAAACATATTTTTGAATCTGAACTAATACAATAATGTGGCAACAGCGTGTAAGAACCTGGCAAGCTCAGCTTATGTTCAACTTTTTGTTAAGGTTTGAAAATACTTTTTGCCCCAAGTCACGAATACAAATCCTCCCGTTGAATCCCAGGACATGGGAAGCTCGCTATAAGGTGTCGCGTATGGCCGGTGCAGTGAGGGCTCTTTCTGTGTTGGGGTAGTAATGTAAATAAATGTAGATTACCAATTATTTCTAGCTGACTTGCATGCTGATATAGTGCTCTAAACAGAAAATTAAAGCAACTAAAGCCCAGTTTTCAATAATAATTAGATTTTTTTGTCTCAGTTCCACTTTTCTGTGAAGGCTGGGAACGTATTTCTATTCATGTGCAGCACTAATTTTATTTGTGCATCGGGGAATTATGGGGCCAAGCTGTGTTAAATGTTTGCCTTCTGACTTTACATATGACTAAATGTTTGAATGTAAGCTTTTTAAAAAAAATCATTTTCTGCCAGTGTGTGTGCATTAGTGTGTCAGCAGCTGTCCTCCAAGGCGTTGACAACTTGCTCTAAAATGTCAGGGCATCGGTCGGCGATCTGCTGCAGGACTTGATTGGCGTACTCCTGGAGCTCCGCCCCCTCCCTCTCGCACAGTGCTAACTCCGCCTCCAACTGAGGAAAAAAAGGCCGGAAAGAGAGAGGAGAAATTTTAGACTTTTTTATAAAGCCAAAAAAAGAAATACTTTCATGTAAAAACGTTCATATTAATATTAACTTTCTCTCTGATGGTGTTCAGGTCTGTAGGATAAATATGCAGCCAGTTCATTTAGCTCAGAGTAAAAACTAACAGGGTGCCACTTCCTGGATTGAAAAATCAAAACAAGGCCAAGTGCCGAAAACTGCAGTTCCACAAATATCCACTAGAAGTTGTGTCCAAAACACAGAACGAATGATTTGACATTTCCAGAGAAATGTGATATGCTGATAAACTATTAAACTGAACAAGAATCAAGGTAGCTGTTTACACCTATATCTTGCTAAGCTAACTAGCAAGTGGTTATATCTAAGAAGAAAGCCAAACTATTCTGTTAGTGTTTTGACTGATGAGAAGCAAAAACAGTCCAATGGATGATCACTGAGCAGGGTTTAGGACACACAAACAAACAAACACACACACACACACACACACACACACGCATCACACTTCAATCTTAAACACCAAATTGTAGTTCTTTCTGTTCGGACAGAGTGGAAAATTTCTCAGAGGGAGCGCTGATATTATTATCTTTGGCTGCAGTTGGGCTGAGACGTCAAACCTAACTGACTTAATGACCAATACATCTGTATCAATACGAGAGCCGCTGAAACGGCCATGTAACACAAGCCCACATTTATGTTTGTCTGTGTCTGTGTGTGAGTATATGTGTGTGTGAGGCCTGGGTCAAATATTGGCTAATATTCCCTTGTTAAGTCTTAACCTCTTCCCTCTGCTCTCATCTGTTATCCAGAAAATCTCAGTGGTATTTTATATCACAGTGGCTTTATTCTTTATGTGTAAAACTGATGCAAGTAATAACACTATTAATGATTAATGATAATCTACCTAATAAATTACTTGGAAAAGGAAGTCATTATCCATATATCATGCTGTTATATTAATTATTGGAAATAGGCCACAGTTGTGTATAAAGGCACAATGAAAGTGCTAATCAAAGACACTATCAAGTTGCATTTTGGGAAATGCAAGATGTGCATCAGGGAATTTTGTTTAAATTTTTGGACCAGAAAGACAACGAGCTGAACTTTTTACCACAGTTTTGAAACTCCTTTTGTTTAGCATGCAAGTCCCCAACTTTCAGGAAGTTAAAGTGTAAACTGCTGAAATGTCATCAAGGATGTTAAAAAAAACCCTCTTTTAATATGAATCCAATTTTGTATTGAATCTTATTAGTTGTAGATCCATCCATTTTCCCTGGTGGAGCCCATGACATTAGTGGTTACTTCTCAGTCACAGAAACAGAAAACCATTCATGCCAGCAATGAAACTATAGCTCATCATCTTATTCCTTTGCTTCTGTTTTTAGGGGTCACCACAGAAGATAATCTGTCATCATCACATCCTTTCTCCAGTATCCTCGTTTGTCACACCAACCCTCCTCTGCATGTGCTTCTTATAATCACGAACCCTCTCTGTAGTTTTCCTCTTGCCTGGTAACCCCAGCTTTAACATCCTTTATACGATATAGCCACTATCCCACCTCTGCTGTTGTCCAAACCATCTCAGCCTTGCCTCTCGACCTGAGTTGTCCCTTTGATATGCTTATTTCTCATCCTGTCCCTCTTTGACACTCAAAAAAAAACCTAGTATCTTCAACTCTGCCACCAGCTCTGCCTCCTGGCTTTTTGCTTCAAACCATACATCACAGCGGGTCTCACCACCATCTTGTAAACCTTGCCTTTCAGTCCTGCTGCTATCCATCTGTCACAAATCACCCCTGACACTTGTCTCCACCCACTCCACCCTGTCTGCACTCTCTTCTTTACCTCTTTTGTGCACTGTCTGTTGCTTTGTATGGCTGACTTCACATATTTACACTCACCTGCCTTCACTACCTCTACTCCTTGCATCTTTACTGTTGCACCTGCCTCTCTTTCGTTCACACACATGTATTCTTCTCTCGCTTCTACTGAACTTCATTCCTCATTTGTCCAGGCTGCCTTCTACCTGTTCCCTACTATCACTGCATCTTATCTACTTTCACTTAACTGCAGTGGATGGAAAAAAACACACACAGACACAAGGAGAACATGCAAAAATCGAGTCGGAAACCAGAAGCTGAGAGGAAACCAACCTACCTAAACTAAAACATACGATTTTGTAAAGCCAAAAAGAAAGTCTGACAGGCAAAGAATGCATATAATGGGAGAAGATAATCAAAGTAATATGCAAGAAGAGAATGGGACAGAAATGGAGAGAACTGAGCAAGTTTGGTTCAAATTGGCATATTCGGAAAGCCCCATTAGTTTCAGACAGCAGGGAACAACCCCCCACAGCAAAAACAACAACAAAAAAATTAATGACTTATTCAGTCTTTCCAGGTGATGTAAGCAGAAAACAGATGCTTTGCAAAACAACAACTTTGGAGGTCTATGGAATAATTTTGACAAGTTCGTTCAGGCCTCTGATGAATCACGGTTGCGTGGAAGTGATGAGCTGTCGAACAGAGTGATGATTTTTGAGCACATAGTCCAACTTTTATCACTTATCTCTCTTTCTGTTCTATCTGCCCTCATTATCGGCACCTTGATTTTTTTTTATCGCTACACTTTTCTACACTGGTGGTGTTTGCAGGTGATTTAGCTTAACGGCCTTGCATTTTAGTTGCAATCACCCAGAAAAACACAGCAGTAAAGATAAGAGTGTAAGACAACTGAGAAGAGATAAATAGTTTAGTATCTGTCTGCTGCATCTGCTTTCTGGCTCAGGCAACCTTGACCTACACCGGAGGAAAAAGACTTCAAAAGGTGCCTAAAAATCTGAAATTAATGGGTTAAACACAACTTAAAAACAGGATGACGATAAAAAACAAACAAACAAGAGCCATGCTATTATGAGATTACGTTATAGCACAATCCTCATGCATAAAATTGATCAGCAATGTCTTGAGGAAATAAAAAAATCATGTTGGCTACCACCTCAATCGTCTTACTTAACGAACACCAGAACAACTGTAATAATTTGCACATTTAGTTTTATAAATTCAATGCCTCTTGTGTCCATAAGAACATATCACATCATGCAGAACAGTCGACTCTGTGGTCATTGGCAGCTTTTATTTAAAAACAGCTTTAGGAAAATTATGATGTGTGCAGTCTGGAGCTTGTTTTTAAAATTTAGTCTGTCATTATTGGACTGGTGATTTAACAGAAAACATTACAATGCTGCAACATTTGTTACACATCAGTTTAGAAAATCGTCTGTTCCTTAATTTTTGGGTTTGTGACTAATTACAATAACCAACGTCTTCTTACACTCTATCCGAAATTATATGCACAATTTTTACAAGGGCATACATTTTTTGTCGAAGGCTACCTCTTCTGCTCAACATTGGTTGATCCGGTTAGGCACAGCTCTGTCAAAATATCTGTCTTCTCTGTCCAAAATGTGAACATCTACAACAGGGGTGTCAAACTCCAGGCCTTGAGGGCCAGTGTCCTGCAGGTTTTAGATCTCACCCTAAGTCAACACACCTGAATCACATGATAAGTTCATTACCAGGCCTCTGGAGAACTTCAAGATATGTTGAGGAGGTAATTTAGCCATTTAAGTCAGCGGTGTTGGATCAAGAACACATCTAAAACCTGCAGGACACCGGCCCTGGAGGCCTGGAGTTTGACACCTGTGATCTACAATGTAAGAGCAGTTTCTCCTATGATATAACATAGACCTGTGGAGTGGTTGTTTGGTCCTCTTATTATAGGTCCTGGCAAACCTCACTGCAAGTTGTGCAGTGTTGTGCATGCTGTGCCGTGAAGCAGAGAAAACAGATGACTGGAGAGAGGTGATGGCCTACGACACCAAGAGAGCCCTTCCCAGGCGATCCAACTGCCAGTCCACCCTCAGCCATTTGACTTTAACAACTTACATGGCTATAGGGTGGGCAATGATTCACAAAGATGTCCTGACATGTCCCACTAGAGGTTAAATACCTGGGACTCCTCGCCAGCTTTTAAAACTATAGAAGGCTTTCGAGAGGTCTTAAAAAGGTTCTTTAAGAGGTCATCTTAAAGAATCTAAAAGAAATCCAGTTGCCTTTGAGTCAAGCACTATCGTGAGATGGATCATTGAGGATATAGCTACTAATTAATAAAGTTTAATTATATTAACAGATTTATAATTAAGGTCCCTGGTACACTAGCTAATGGGGTCGATGTCACTGATAACCCACGCTGCCTATTGGCAAAAGTCATATAGGATAGGTTATTTAAGTCACTTTAGCCTGCTGCTTCTTCTGCAAGCTGCTTTGCAACCTACGTCTACATGTTTCTTCTTTTCATTGTGTCTCAATCATGTTCAGTTTCTTGTGATGTCTGCTCTGTTCAGTACCAAAGGTCTAACCGCTTTTCTCTGCATAGAACAAAACTGTACTGCCAAATGTAAATTGCTGCACATGGAATAACAATCTTCTTTTGACCAAAGTGGCCCTGACTGAAATTATTTCGTGACCGACTGTAAGAAAATCTCCAATATGATCCCCCTTTTTCAGTAATGAAAACAAAAACCAATGTGATGACCTTGATTCCCCTCTTGCTTCCCCCCTTTTTTCATGCCTGCAAGTATAATGGTCTCCATTAAAAAGCTGAGTTGCAACATTCTTAAATTGTTACAATTAACCCAGGGAGAAAAATATTCTCATAACTGATATCATGACTGATATGATGAATGATGGCCAGAACTAGAAAAACAAAACACAGCTTTCTTTAGAAAATGATCAAAATTTAATACTCGGTAGGGGAAGAAAAAGTCTCTTTGTTGCCAAGCAATAGACTTCCTCTCTTGCTACACATAATCCAAAAGTCGTTAATGACCCAAAGAAATTAAATATAAACAGTTTCCAGGTATGAGGTACTAGCTTGGATGTTTTGGTTGTAAGCTCCCATGGATCGTGTCT